GAACAGGTGAACAGTTTTGACTTGCGAACAAATCGAAAAGTTGACGAAAAATAAATAAAATGTACCAAAAATCAAGAGCAAAATGATACCGATCCATCCAGATCATATTGATTGATGAGATATTTGATCGAAGCCATGATGATTTAATAAATATATTATGGTTCATATGAGCCTCCATGCCTTTTGTGAACCAGGTCTGCAATCCCACCAGCCAAGGAAATATAACCCGTTTCTGGGCTAGATTTGCTAAAAATGCAGTGTAGTCAATTATCAGACTGCATATCAATACAAAATCTCCACCATACAGCGGCCTTTTATTTTTAATATGACCAAATAACGTAGAAATCTTAATAAAATTTCTTGTTATACCATGACTTATAACTTGAGTTTTAATATATGAATTGCTTATAGTTTTAATAGTAGTTGTTAGTATTTTATAGATCCTATCTCTTGTCTTAGTTTTGTATCAGATGACGACTTTACGTGACAACCAACCACTTACCTCTGCTGATACTCCCAATATAGTACGTCACGCATACGTCCGCGCTATACAAACGATGGAACTCTAGGATCCACCTGCATACAAATCACATCCAGCTCAATATCCGTTACTCCTTTAATCAACACTCAACATCACTATGGCCAGACCTTTAACCTCCGACATTTCCAGGCATTATACGCACAATACCTACAAAATATTTATTCAATTTCTTGTATTACTATTCTACTTGTCTTCGGTATATATTTGTTCTTATATTTACTAAATTCTTCATTTGTACTGCCTAATAAAGATCATTTCCTGATTTAAAATATGGAGGATAAAATAAGTATCATAATCTGCATTTTACTCTAGATATTTGTGCTTCCTTCCGTAAAGAAAATCTGCTCTTCATGAGTTTTAAATTTATACTGATATACCGCACTGATGCATCATCTAAAGGATGATTCAGTATTTGTTTTTATTATACTTTACTATAGAAGCTGCTAATTTAGAGATTTGCGGCTGGAATTACAGTACTCGTTAGGTGGTCACCAGCATATTTATGACACTTAGGCCTTATTATTTTGCATTTTTGTCATATTGATCTAACCATACGAAAACATAGGCTGGCGTTAATAATGTTTACACCTTATAACATTGGAAACTGACAAATAATTTGTAATTATTTTGAGCTACTGTTTCATAAATCCTAGGGGAGATTTCCATTATTATATTTCTCTGTTTTCTAGCGTTTCTGTAGTCAGATATGAAACGACAAGTATAAATGGGAATTTCTGTTTTATGTCCTTTCGCTTCTCTTGTATATTTGCGTTATTTAGCATCATGTATTACTTAGGTAGATTGACTGTTTTGTATTGAGATATAGTCCTTATCTATTTTTCACTTCTAATAGAGTAGTAGTTCTTGCTACATCTATTTTATTTTGGTATTTAATCATATCTCCATTCTTGTTATAAAATTTTTAATTGGAACTGCAATATCGTTCAGAATCTTATTTCTTACATGTCTGGCAGGTTTTATATTTACACATTTTTGTGGTATTGATATTGTAGCACTTCTAAAAGGTTTATTTGTTTTAATTTTATTAAATATACTATGTATTTGTATATGAGTGGCGTGGTATTTTGTAGTGAGTTTATTTTATTTTGATTGAGTTGTTTTATAGTTTATTTTTATTTAGTAGAGTTAGATTATCTTTGACATTGTGTTGTTCAATACATGTATTCTGTAAGATTTGAGGTACGTTTTTGTTAATATTCTTTATATTTTTCGTATAATTTGTTTCTACTATCCCTGCTTCACCTAATGTTTATATTATTCTGTGTTCTGAGGCATAGGTGCTAATATGGTGTTTGAAGATATACATGAATATTTACTGGTAACGGTTTTTCTTTGACATAACTGAATTTCACGCGACGCCACCTTCACACCGGTATGCATTACCACTCAGTACCCCAAACCCGATGATACCAAAACCTCACCGCCCCAACCGCTTACGCCGCGCCCAAATGCCGGCAAACTGACACAACGCACCGCCAACAAATCACAACGCCGACTGAGTCACAACGTTCAAACCCCCAACACTCTCAACGCACTATTTTGTATAAATTTCTATATACGATTCTATTTTTATGCAAAAATTTGAATTACATATGGATATGTTTCTGAATTGACATTTAAAGTATGAGGAATGCGGACACCGACAATGAAAAACAATGTTATAAAGATGTATTTAAAAGAACGCAGTCTTTGCCTATTTGAAAATTTCACCGAGCCATGCACCACGCAGATTTCACTTCACCCAATTGCATAAATGCCGCTTCTGCTTATTCACCTTCTGGCGATTTCATGTACGTTTGACCATAATTCAATGGTATTTAGCAAAAGATCTCGTCTCATGAGCGAACATGTGGCCGACTTGCTTGCTTGCTTGCTATATATATATATGTAACTCCATATCTATCTCGATTAATTTTAGGTTATACAAAGAACTGTTAGGTGAACCAAAATATTATACTCTGTAGCAACATGTTGCAAGAATATAATTATTCAAATTTTATATTTCAATAGCGTTCAATAATTAACAATGTGACTTAGGCTACCAAAATGTTAGATATTTAATATGAAACAGTTAGTACAAATGCAGTGAAATTTTCCTAATTAAATATAATTAAATCATAAATCGACAGCTAATTCGGTGGCAGGTATCCAACAGCAGTCTCATATCCTTGATTTTGTTACTGTTGCAGGAGAGCTTGGCTTAAAAACGATACTTCATTTGAGTGTTGCGATTGTCCGCCAAGGTTGGTCGATGCAGTTTGAATGAGCAGTTGCTGCATGCCGCATTTCGTGTGTATTCAACGAAATGTCACTTCTGGTGCTTCAGCTATACCACCTCAACCCGCAACTGTCATGCCAATCGAAACATCAAGGTTGTGCTACAGTACATAAATAGCAGTTCGCCGTCGGCAGGTCCTGTTAAGGTAACTCAGCACCACTGCTGAGTCCTTGATCTTCCATGCTTGTAATGAATAACACACGCAATTTCTTTTTTAGCGATCCAACGAATTGTTGAGCGCCAATATTATCCTCGAACTCGTGCTCGGGCGCAGTGTAAGTGTAGAATTCTTTGTTGTATTCGGTGTGTCCTGTTTGAGAACCTAATCCCGTTCCACTACCGCTGTCAGCAAAGTTTCCGGCATTATTAGGGCCAGCGAATCCGCCAAATCCACCGTCAGTTGTAGAGGTAACTCCACCGGAGTAGCTGTTTGCTCCGTTTGTGCTAGCCCCTCCGGGAAGGACTCCTCCAATCGGAGCATCGTGTCCAAGTGGCTGGTAATTGTATCCCAAATTATTCGCCGCTGCGGTAGCAACGAGGCAAAAAAGCTGAAATTTGTTACAAGTTTTGTATGTAATTATATTTCATAAATGTTGAGTATATAACAGGAGACGATAATGTTGAAAATCTAAAGACTATAACGGCAACGAAATAGACAGATATTGTGTAATTATGGTGCAAACGGAATTGTTGACTTCCAGCTTCCAACCACATTTATGGCAATCAATATTTTTATCATGTGTAAATTGACTCTGATCGTGGATTGGAAAGTACCTCAACCAAATCACATTAGTAAGATATTGAGACAATATTGGTTTTACTTCTATTTTTTTCTATGCAAAAATCGATTTTCCAGATCACCACTGTTATATTGATTATATCCCATCCTATTTAGATTTGTTTTACCACATATTGTCCGTTTCTGGTTCATTTCAATTTTATCGTCTTATTTAGACTGACGTAGTAAATGAATTAATCGCGCTTCGTCACTGAATTGCCTGTTTCTTCTGATGTGTTAACTAACTAACATCTCTGTAGTTCGACTCAACATCCAGGTGTGAACTAATGATACAAACTTGTTTTTAATTAATTGAAGATGCGATATTCCTATTGGATTTTAAAAATAGACATCCTGAATATTTTTAAAGATTCAGTATCACAAGTTTTTTTGACTACCACACACTTAATTCTTGCCTTTCTGCTAAGTGTTCGGCGACCATTTTGACAACTTCACTTTTCCGCTTTCACTTCCTAACCTCATTTCTTTGAACACTTTGTAAAAGTTTTCACAAATCGAAATACCCGTATCACACAACTTTGACACTTGAGCACTTGAACACTTACGAGAAATCCGTACATCTTTCGTTCGCAATATTGATGAATGATCTCGACCAAATCGGGCTCTCGTCTGACGTTAATGAAAGCTAAAACGTGTTTATGTTGATCATCGGTGCGTCGTGTTTTTGATGTTCGATACGCAGAGGAAAATTGCCTTTAATTTTGACAACGGTCATAAAGATTCTGAATAAACAGTGGTTGTACACAAAACCAATGCCACAACCAAATGGTAACAACAGAAATATGCAAAAATTACACACCAATTCATTGTAATATTGCAATCAAACTTAAAGATCCCGAACTCTTTTCATATGATATAGATTTTTGGCAAACCAACACAAAATGTAAGTTGAGCTGAAATGTATTGATGTTTTTTATATTAATGTAAATGTGCCTAATGTCCATTCACATTGTAAATGATTTATTATCATATTTTCGCTTGAAAAGGGGAGTGTTACAAGCTTTTCAATTATCACATTACTTTTTCCCTGATCTACTTTTGTATCTAAGCTATATGAAATATGCATGTTAGTTACTTTTCAAATTCAAATGAAACCACGAGTGTCTGCACAATCTAAACTGTCGCATACGGATTTGACACTTGTTTATTTTGTTATTGGCCGAAAAAGTTGTAGCGTTTCTATTAGAGCAAGAAGGGGAAGTGCGCCAAGCGAAGCAACTATTCGTAAGTAATTCGGTGAACTTCGTGCTAACCATATTAGCACTGCAAACAATTAAACCGTCGGTGTTCCAAAAACGACGAAAAAATACAATACGATTTGGAAAGATCGTAAAATGATATTGATCGAGATAGCTAACTAATATATCTCAGTGCATTGTATTGGACATATCGTTCTTGAATAAACGAGAACTCTGTGCGAAGTGGGTGCCGCGAATATTTTTTTAGTCTCCTATGTCGATCAAAATGCAAGGAATAGTACAAAATTCTCAATTCTGATCTTTTTGTTTTTGTTAGAAAAATTTTTTTTTTTTGTTAAATATCATATTGATGTTTTCTTTTGTTATCGAGATTGATATCTCGATTAATATGTCTTGAGAATTTTTTAGCTTATACCCTATACACTGCTAACTATATTTGATGAGTAAAGAACACGTGATAAACTCCCTCTCAAAGAAACCAGGAAGAAAACCACTTTCTATACGTAAGATGTTTAGGAATTAACTTACAATATTTGAAAAAAGTTTTTACCTTCGTTTGTATTTTTTTGCTTGCAGGTTCTCACGATCACGTACATAGTACCTTTTATCTATTAACGGATTTTTTCAGACTGATTTGGGAAAACGTGAGATTTTTCATAAGTTATGAAGAGTACCCATTTCTTCAAATTATATTAACTTTATATTTTTCTGACATGTTATGCGGTTTCTCTTGAACGTATCTCATTCTTTTTTCTGTAGGCATGTTCCATTTCGTTTATTTTATTTCTATATTCACTTGCAAGTAAAAAAAAATTTTTTTTTTAACTATTTTATAAATAGTCATTTTTTTTTAATAAATAAAATAAAATAGTGCACATTTACAGAATTCAATCCAGTTTAAGGAACGACGATTTCCGACGTCCGAAAAAAATTGTCTGGCAGTGAGGAAGATTTTTCTGTTTTCTTATACATAATAATATATATATAATAATATATAATAAATGAATGCAGGTGATGATCGAAGACCTAGTCAAAACATTGATGATTTGGCAAAATGAGGTTTCTCCAAAAAAGTCGTTTTTCGACAAAAATTTACACTTCAGAGTGGCTTAAAATCGAAAATATCAAAAATCATATTCTTTCGATCATTAGCTGACAAATATGTCTGAGAAGGTCGTGTGAAAATTTGAAGTCGATCAGTTTAATCGCTTTGAAAAAATGAGAATGAGTTCAAGCCGTTTACACTAAGTTTCTTCATTCTTACAAATACCATCATAACTCCGACACTATTTGTCGGATCAAATTAACAAGTATTATAGTCGATATACATATACATATGTATGTAAAAAAATCGATTTTTTGTAATTCACAAGTGGATTAACCACTAAAACCGCTCAAATTTGTGTCAACTCTAGTAAATACGCACACTATTCGATAACATTAAAGCAAAGCAAATATCGATAGAAATTGACGCATCCACGATTTGCTCATTACGTAAGAAAGCGAAATAAATCGTTGCATATTTCATAACAAAAGTCGCTCAAACAGGCGTCAACAAAGCCACGGAAATCAATTTGAAAAATGACGAAACTAACCAAAATAAAATCAAAGAGTTGGCCGCAAAGCCATAAACGGGTTGCTAACAAAGACGCAAAGAGCAGAAGAGATAAACTAATAAACATCGCCCGCAACATTAGTAAGCATTTAAATGGATACTTTGTAAATATCGCAAGCTGGAAAGTAATTAATTAAAAATACTAATTTGCATTTGTTTGAGAGCCACGCGCTTTAGTCACCGCTTTCGCATTTCAATGTCAACATTTCGCTTTTAAGCGCCTCATCTTACAGCTACAAAGCAAACAAAAGCAATTAGGGTTTAATGCCCAGAGAAAGCGAAATGGAAATAAAGAAAAAACTTACTCACATATACTTACATACACACACATATATGTATATGTGCGGGTAATGAAACAGTGAAGTATTTAAATTTAAAAATAACGGTCATCCGTTTAATGAGCGATTATTTTTGTGGCATTCAGCTTAAATGAAGCGTGTTTCAGTTCAATTGCAGCACTTTATATTGGGTACATTAACTAAACTGCTCATTTTGCAGACATTCCGACTGCTATTGTCTATTCCACACAATGACTGTCAATTTCGTGCGAATTGCTCATTCGTGGTTGTGTAAAATAGCCGAGAACCACTTACTTTCATAAATCTGATTTGTGTAACATACACACTGACACACAACACTTCACAATCAGTGGCCACATCAGCTTGTCCATTCATTGTTTGTCCACAACCACACACACACACACATACATATTTCCGTTCAACCGCAAACATTACTTAAATCTTGTCCTTCAGCTACAAAGTGTTTGGCTTTAATTTCAACAATACTTGAAGACATCTCGAGTATGTAAGTAAGCCACTAAAATCTAGAGACATAAATAGATTTATGTGCAAGTACATATGTATGTATACGTAGAAGTGGAGTGTGCATGTCAATGAAAACATTTTTGGTAAAAGGACAATTTCAAATGCCTTGAGTGTGTTTATCTAACTGTAGGCCATTTATCTGTTTCTTATCTAAAGTAAGTACAGCATAAACACACATTTGAAATTACACACGCCTTTTCGGGTTTCTGGCAAATACTAGTATGCTCACGAACTAGTAAATTGTAATCAAAATCTACGAACACGTGTAGCGTAACGCTTCTAAACAATGAACTCTACATAGCTGTGGGTGTTTACAGCTTATGGTGAAAAGCAATTTTGTTTTGAATCGCTTTGACTGGAGCGAAAAGAAATGTAAGGGAATTAAATGGTCTTACATTTTCGAATATAGAAGGAATAGAAAGGCTTATATCGGCTATGCGTGCAAAATCTTAACGACTGCAGTAGGTCCACATCACATCTTATCGTATCACAAAACTCTAACCTTGATTAGCTGAGTGGCAAACTGGAAAGCGTTGCAGTGTACAGGTATAACTAGACACCAGCCTATTGTTTTTAGCTTTATTCGATTCGCCAAGCGTTGTAGAGTAGCCAATCGAACAAACTATACAGTGGTCAAAAGCAAGCAGCACTTGGAGCAACACTGCTTAGCATGTCCACTGATGCATGTGAATTTGCTACGATTCTTTTTGGTGAAGAAACTCTTGCTTAAAAACGTTTTATTAACCTCTCAGTTTTATTTTATATAAATATTTTAATTGATTTAGGTTTTAGTTTTAAAGATCAAAGAAAATAATAATTGTATATTTCATTAGTCATTTGAGCATTCTCAATAGTTAACCTGATGTTAAGTATGCAAACAAACCTCGGTCCAAAGAGATAACGCACATGTCCACTGATGGCATGTGAATTTTGCTACATTCTTTCTTGGTGAAGAAACTCTTTTAGCTTAAAAACGTTTTATTAACTCCTCAGCTATTTGCAAAATATGTTTAATTGATTTTAGGTTTAAGTTTTAAAGATTCAAAAAAATAATAATTTATAATTTTCATTAGTTATTTGAGTTATCTACAATAGTAAACCTGATTGTTAATATGCAAACAAACTCGGTCATTTAAGATAACGCTTAACCACTTTAATAAGCTATCCGTATACTCTCTCCTATACAAATTCAACTTGATAACTGTATGTTGTTTTAACAAGAGAGCAGCACACAAAGGCAGCAAGCAGAGATTTGGCGAATCGAAGACTGCTATTGTCTACAAAATTGGTTTGCAGATAGGCAAAGTAAGCGCCAGCATTGAATGCAAGATTTTGTAAATTGATCTAGTTGCCGAAATATTATATAACTAATTTGTCTTTTTTAACCATAGAAGTTACTTGATAAAATTTCTGTTAGTCATACGCAAAATATTGTACCATCTTATTGGTATATTGCTATTGAGTGAGACCTGGCTCGATTGGCAGAGGTAATAATGATTTTTGATGGAAGTGAAATATTACCTAAGCAGTTTTGGGGATTACTGTCGATATCATTGCGCTAAATCAGATATTCGTCCATATCGGTACCGGTTACACCGTCAGCTATCATGGCAAAGCCCTATCCGGACAGCACATTATTGATAAAAATAAAAAAGCGAAAAAAACAAATTCTATTTTACAAGTTTTTTGATGTAAATGGCATCATATTGTATATCAAGACAAATTCTTCTTAGACTTTGGTTGCATGTTCACCTAAAAAAATGCTTTGCTTATTAGTTTCGGGTATATTTGAATAGTACCAAGCTTTATAAACTATTTAACGTTAGCCTATCTAAAACAATTTTTTGGGCTGCAGAGACAATGCAGAACTTACGCTTTAATAAAATCATATCATTTTAAAAAGTTTTGCATTTCCTTGCTCACGTATCCGATCGCCAGGAGGACCTCCGAAAAAACATGTGTCTGGCGATGCGGAAGATTAATTAGAATTAAAATTA